AGATCTGTTGAGTTGAGAGGTGATGTCTGATGAGATGGTAAACCTAAAAACAGGAGCTGCGAGCTGTCCTAATGAAATCATGATCTCCCCATACGTGCGGTCCACAGTATGAATATTTAACCCCATTGCCTAACAATATACATATACCCAATGTATATAAGCCTCCATGTGATCCCACACACATAATGTCCATAGATCCTATCTCACATGTAAGTATATACATATAATGCACTAACTTAACTTTTATGTAGATCTTATAAGATACTGCTGACAAGAATACTAACACCATTGTATCTGCCGCTGCTCAATGCGTGCTACATTATAGTACTTACACAGCGAGGCCTGAGGGTTTGAGAAGGTATCCCAAGCATCACTCCTGGGTGGCTAGTCTCCTGGTCTAGGGCTTACGTCACTGTGATTGTCTCTGACAATACTGCGTGCGGAACAAAATGAACATTTAGAAGATGTGCATATGCTCTAGTGACACAGTATATGTATAATATGCTCGGTATATGCATTTGTGTGCCACTTTCATTAGTGTAAAGGCATTCGTTTATGTACTCGATGTGTAAAAATTAATTTGATTCTTGCACATAATAGGGACACAATTAATCACTTACGCTAATAAAGTAATCTGCCAATAAGAATGTTAATTTCAGTGTTGCCAAAGCACAGTGTATGTCATGCCATCAATGTATTAGACTTCATAGAGAGTGATACAAATGAATGAATGGTGTGGGGTTGTGAGTGACGTACATCTGAGTCTCTCCTGAATGTCCTTCACCAGAGGTGGGATGTCCTGTAGAGCCTCTTCCATTATCATCTCCACACCGGCTACCCCGTGGTCTATCACTGCAACAGTAACACCATTGAGACAGATGTACATCAATATGCAGTGCCTTCAACTAATACAGATTTGTGTTTGACAGAATCTGTTGACCAATTATTGAGGGAAATTGTACATAAATCTCACCCTCTTCCTTAGGTACAATGTTGTGTCCGTCTTCCTCCAGACTGTCCTCCGAATCGGTCCTCATCATCCCACCCCCGGCTGCCCCGCCCACTCTCGATGACATCATCGGCAGAGCGAGAGGGTCTCGGACCTGGAGGAGCCGCAGTTCGAGGTACGGCTTCTTCTGGACGCGGTCCACTTGGAGTTTCAGAGGCAGCTCGTGTCCGCTCAGGACACGGATCTCTGCAGAGAGAAGAACATTCATGAAGAAGGGAGGAATGGGGGAGAGAGGGGAGAGGGTGTGGGGAGGTGGGAGGGAAGAGAGAGTGGGAGTGAGGAAGTATGGTACAGCCGCATCTAACTAAGAGGGGGGGGGTGCATTCCAGGCATCAGTGATTATAGTTAGCTTAAACACTGCCCATGCATCGTGAATATATACCAAAATTGAGGTAATTGGACACAGTTACCTGCACTTGAAACACACATAGACACCTTAATCTTACACATGCACCACAACAGTGTATGTTCACTGTTTCAATATACCTCCAGTTCGTTTGTTCCTCTCCTCCAGGGCATAGTCGGCTGGTGTGCCCCTCAGACCCATCCCCCCAATCAGCTGGGCCACCGTCTCTCCAGCTGTGGTGGTGCTCTCCAATAGGAGTGACTTGGTCTGCACAGCGTAGCCCCTGTCGAATGTCACCTTTACTACTCCCTTGTACATTAGATCCTGAGGGTTCAAAAAACATTACGTACAATTTACATCAAATTTTTGATACACCTTTCTGAAGTCTTGCAATGGGCTGTAGGGGGCTCAACCCCCCTCCCAAAACTCACAATCTATACCTAGCTACGTACATCGTAGTGCATAGGGCCGGCTGTAAGGGTTGGGCAGCTCGTCACCAGCTTTATACCCGTTTGCTATTTCATTGCTCATAAACCAGGTTCCCTTCTAATGCTTGCTTCTTCACTTGGATTGCGTCTAGCTCTGACTTGCCAGCAGCTGCAAATATGCTACCTGTGAGGGTGGGGAAAGCGGGAAGGAGGGCCGCCGCGTCTTCTTTTGCTGCTTGTTGTACGAGTCGATCATCTTTATCAGCTCCTTCCTGGCCGACTGTCGCTCCTTGGCCGTCAGCTGGGAGATGTCCATCTCCCTCTCTCTGTCACTGGCGCGGTGGACTGCTGCTGCAGATTGCGCGCGTTTAGGAGCCACAGTGTAACTAGCTTTAGCTCTTCAAGCTAGCTAACTCTAGCTAGCTAGCTCTGGAGCTGCAGAACCAGCCCCTCCCACCTTTACGTCATTAACCTTGACTCACTTTGTTCCTTTGCTGCACCCGGAGCTAATTCTCTTATCTGTATGGTTGTCTCTTCGCTTATTTTGATCACTGCAACAGCAAGCTATTAGCTAGCTGAGCTCTAGAGCCGGAGCTATAATATGTAGCAGCTAGTTGTCTTGCTAGCACACACGCCCACTCCCGATTTCGCGTGCGTGAGGTCGAAAGGTCAGACAAAGGAAATCCTGTCGCTAAGGCAAGCACGGTGGCAGTGTAGAAGAGATGGAGGCTGTTCGTTGCGAGAACGACAAGCTCCGGTCCAAGGCCCCCACAGCCGGAATAATCGGTGAGCGATCACTAGAAAGTTACAACGGCTGTACAGCCAATACTTAGCTAGCTTTGTTCCCGTATCGACCATAGTTGTCGACGCGAGATACTTCTGAAATGCCGTGTCTCGGCCACGTACTCTCACTACATCTGCCAGCAGCTCTGGCTGTGTGCGGTGTAGGTCTCCACGGTACTGCTTGCATGCACATACCTACTACCGTGTGTGTTCACGACGGCCTAATGGGCTCGTTTGCAAGGATACCCCTCCCCATCTTTACAGTGGAGAAAGAGCTAAGCACGAGAAACTGGCCCTGAACGTTCCACGGAACCATCTCACTTAAGGCTGTTGGCTAAGTTTTTCCGTGTAACTTTCAATTTCCACTTCTCTTGTGTCTTATTATTCTCTTCCTCCACTTGTGTGTATATATGTGTACTGCAGTCTGTGTTGAAAAATGACATCACACTAGCATACACACTCATTGTCAGTGCTCTCTCCATACATCTATTATAACATGCAATAAAACTTTTGTTTAAGGTCACATGTAATCATTCTGCACTTTGAAAAAAGACCAGAATGAGATGAGGACTGAGATGCCATCTTGTCTCATTCCTCATTATGTGGTGGTGTTGGCGCGCTGCGGGCGGGGGTCGCGCCCCCGCGGTTCACCGTTCCGTGCCTCCGTTCGTTCTCCCACGGGCGGCGTGGGCCCCGCTGCTGTCCCCCTTGAGGGTCCGCCCCCCCCTCACGTTGCGTCCTTTCTTTTTTCCGCGCGGCCCCGTCTCCCCGCGCGTTTCGTTCTTTGGCTGCTGCCTGTCCCCCTGTCGCTCCCCGTGTTGTCGCGTGTGTCTGTCCCCGCTGTGGGGCTGGCTTGGGCGTGTGCTCCCCTGTTTGAGAATTTTCGGTTCCGCGTCTTTTTCCCCTCCGCATGTCCCTCGTCGAGCCCTATTCTTTATCACCTCTCACACCACCCCTGTTCCCAGCAACGCCACCGAGCCACGACATGTGGATACGCACACCCGTCCCGGCCGCTGGCCCCGGACCTCCCTCACCACACGCGCCCGAAGCACAAACCTTTTCTGTGCAGACACTGGCTACCCACTTCTTCCACTCTTGTGCTTAGCTTTGCTACAGTAATGGTTACCTGGTTCGACACGACCACCCCAGAGGCCCACACCCCCTCCATCCCCGCCCTGAGCTCACGGCACATCTGTCGTGGTACCACGCCGCCCTGTGGGTTTCGCTATTTGTCCCACAGAGTACTCTGCCCAAGCACGTCACAGATCCTACCTTGTAACAACCGACACCCCACCGTACGGACACTTTTGGCCGAACACCCGCTCTACCTACCGCTTGACCCCTCATATACCAGCTATCTATTAAGCGATCTTGAGAGTTTCATTGATGCAAAGATATTGGACATTGGGAAATGTTACTTAGCCGAGGGTCAACTCTATCACCAAAAAGTGGATTTGTGTGTGAAATTTTACAGACTTTGGTTCTGTGGGTCATTGTGGTGTGGACGTTTCATCTGGTGCAGGTACCCGAGTCAGCCAAGGTCCACCTCGACCCCTCGTCCTATTTCATGTTGGTGTGTGTCCGCAACGTCCACTGCTACCCTGGGATCCCCCCCCTCTCAGAGACATCTTCCAGGCCAACAAGCCCAAGCCCACGACTCTCCCTACCCCTCCCACTAATCGGACCCCTCTCCCTTCGACCTTTCCTCCCCCCGCCCCCCCCGACAAGAACCCCCCACCCTCAATCAAAGTTCCCACTCAGCTCTTGTTTTTTCCTTACTCCGACCCTGGTCCCCCCGGCGCTCAGACCGGTCTGAAGGTCGCGTCGTCAGATCCCCGCCCCCCCCCACGTTTCGCCCCCGCGAGGGCGCCCTTCCCTTCTTCCCCCCCCTCCTTTCCTCGCTGTTCTCCTTCCCGCCGTTCTTTTCCGGTCCTGTGCCCCTTTGCCCCACACACCTGGCCCCCCTATCTCTCTGTCCAGAACCCGACAGGCCCTCCACCTCTTCTTTTCTTCCCGGGTGTGGTTGGTATCTGTTCTCCCACCACCTCCCTGTCACTGGGTGGCTTGAGAGACCTGCTAGAGTTTCTTTGTGACGTCTTCCACACCCACACCCCCCCCGTCTCCATCCCTCCCCCCCGCAGCTCTATCTCTCCGACAGCCCCCGTGTTGGTCCGACCCGAGTCTCTGCCCCTCCAGACGACGACGTTTCCGCGACCCTCGTCTGGTGCTTCCCAGCTTCCCCCTTTTTTTCTCTTGTTCTTTGTGGGCGACAGAGCTTCTCTGCCTTATTTTCTCTGGCGGGTTCTCTGCCTGCACAACCACGCCCAGTCCCCACCCCGCGGCCGTGGGCGTTCCCACCTGCGGCGCTGTCTTCTCGTTTGCGGGACAAAACACCCCCACATGCACAACCCACCAGTGACCCCCGCCACCGCCCCCCCTGTGCGGCCCTCAAGTTCAATCCTGAGTACCCATCCAGTCAAGCGGCTAACCAACCCGAACCCTTGATATAGAGGCGTGAGAGAGGGTGGTGAAAGAGGTAGGATAATGTGTTATAAGGCTCCAAAAACGTACGTATTCTCTTACCAGACAATACACTTTGCTGTAGTTAGCAGACCACACTTTTTTGCATTTTTACTTCACTGTGTATATTATACTAAGATTGTGAGGTCGTGCATCCTGACATATTTTGTGTAAATAATTCCCGAGTGTATAAATCTTAATTCCAGAGTTAACCACAGAGTCAAGCTGACAATGGAGTCTGAAGACCTTCACGCACTGGACAAGGTAACACCAGCACCACCAGCCCTTGAATCAATCAATCTTAGCCATCGGTCCATGTTCCATGTTCTATTTCTTTGTAGGCATACACGAGACTAGCCCTTCTCCTGCCCAAGGTGAGGATACTAATTTCAAGAGGTTTCTGAAACTATGTGTAGCTTCATCCTCTCTCAACCATTAAGATGTGATGATGTCGTCGTCAGAGGTCCACAATGCTCCACAGTCAACAGACCCAAGGTAGTGAGATCTATGTGTGTGTGTGTGTGTATATACGTAGGTACTATATTATCGTACACCACCATGCACATGCAATTGCAGAACCTACGTACACTTCAACTTGCTATCTGACATGGGAACTGTTCTGCCTTGTGGGCAGAGTATTATACAAATTTTGTGTAGCAGTGTCTTGCATATGTAACTCAATGCTTCTAAACTCCTGACAGAAGCTATAGTTCTAGACCCATGGACTTCAAATTACCTGTTCCTCCAGGAAGGAGATAGGGTGGCTCCTGACGAAGGTATCGCCAGGGGGAGTGTCCTCTCTCCTCCCTCCCTCCCTCTGTTCCAAGATCGGCCACACTCTCTCCATGTTCGAACGAGCCTACCAGGAGTATGAGTTCCAGGAGGTCTGTGTGGCCTTCAACGGAGGGAAGGACTGCACAGTCATGTTGGATCTTCTTCACTCCTACCTCGTACAGTGAGTCCAACTGTACCACCATATCTTTGAGGTTCATGTAGTCTACAGTAGAAAGTGAAGAAGAGTTTGGGAAATGTTAGAGAGTGCGAAAGCGTTGTGAGTAGGGTGGATCAATTCACTGGATTATGTTGATTTTCATTGGGCTGTACTGCCAAATTAAGTGTAAGTACAGTATTCTACAGGCTTGCATAAATGAGCTCCACCCTTCTCTCCCATCTCCAGTAAAGGCCACGACTTCTCCCAACAGAAGCTCCAGGTTCTCTACGTCGTCTGCTCGAAGCCGTTCCCCGAGGTGGAGACGTTTGTGGACGAGTCAGTGTCTCGCTACTCCCTGAACCTAGTGAAGATGGAGGATAAAATGCAGAATGCTCTGTGTCAGCTCAAAACCAGCCACCCTCAGTTCAAGGCCATCATGATGGGGCAGCGTCACACAGACCCCTACTGCGGTCAGCACTATGTGTTATACTTGAGACAAGTACTACTGTTAGAGTAGTATCTGCTTTCTTTGTGGCAAGCTGAAACTGAACGTTTTTGTTGCTTGATTTCAGCTAAATTGAGTGACTTCTCTCCCACCGACAACTCTTGGCCAGAATACATGAGAATAAACTGTTTACTGGTATGCAGTCTTCCTCTCTCCTTGTTCCCCTTTCTTTCATTCACCACCACCTCATTCACCTATGCACATACGTACATTCTTCCCCTGCAGGACTGGAGCTACATGGATGTGTGGATGTTCCTGAGGATCATGTCCATTGAATACTGCCCGCTCTATGACATAGGGTGAGGGGAACACCAGCCTAACATACACACGTATCTGGCCTCCTATATATACATCAGGCCTAGTCTCGTTCTCTTTGGCTTCCCCAATTGGAAGCCCGAGTTATTTTCATGCAATACCAGTGCTTGAGTTTGCATTAATGCTGGTGTTAGGAGAAATGTTTGCGTGATGGCTCAAATGCCAAGAGGTTATAAGATGCACTTTGGCATGCTTCTTGTGTGATCCGTCATGGGGAAGTAAGAGCAACTCCTTCCCACCTCCTCCCCTCCTTCACAGCTACACCTCACTGGATGGGGTGGAGGACACCGAGGAGAACCCTCATCTGGCCGTTTCCACGGAAATGCAGCTGCTGACCGGGCAGCCGTGTGTTACCGGGGGTTACCAGCCGGCGTACATGCTGGCTAACGAGGAACACGAACGAGCTGGGAGGTCTACAAGTTGAAAGACACCTTTTTATGAGTAAATATTTAGGTTTTTAATAGTGATCATCTCAACTGTTTTAACTTGTATACAGCAGAGTGTACACACAAAGTGTTATATTATAACAATGGGACACCCTCATCACATAAGACTTACAGTAATTGGCGAGCAAAGCAAGCATACCTAGTCGTCTGAATGGGGAATTTTTTGCATATTATTGCATATTGCAACGTACAACAGGCACTGCACATACTGTAATGTTATACTTGATTGTGAAACTCGCTATAAATCTAACTGCTCGCTGCATTCGTTCTAGTACTCTGTCATATATAATAATAGACAGCCTCATTCCCTTGTGGTTCCCTGGCAGGAGGAGAGGTGCGAGGTTGGGGGCCATTCTGAGATCCCTCTCCCTCCTCATGTGGTTGTAATGGGTGCTGCAGAGTCCTCTCTGCGGCAGTGTTGTTAGCTGTGTCGGGAAGGAGCTGGATATATTCCGTATTGTGTGGTACAGCAGTGTTTCCCTGGCTGGGTGAGACAGCTGGTCCTGGTGGGCTCTCTCTTCTACGAGGAGGGTTCTCATTGCGAGTGCCGTACGCTGGGTTGGACAGCAGGTGGATGGCACCGTCTTGTCCTAGTTCTCCATTAGCTCCAGTCGCCATACTTGACCGGGGGTCTTGGAGTGTAGAATGGTTTGTCTGGCTGGAGGGAGTATTGTGGGAATTGTCTCCCTCCAGTTGTCTCAGTTGTTCCAGTTCTCTCTGTGAAGAATGTACTATGTGGGTGTGGACAGGGTACGCTGGATTTTGCATGAGTCTGACATCATCCCCACGTGGTGCTGTGTTAGCTCGAGCAGGCTGAGTTGGGGTGTGCAGTATTTCCTTACGTGGCCACCTTTTTTTTCCTCAGTACGATACACACAATGATGACTATCACCACCACTGCACAGAGCAGTAGTGCCACCAGGAGACCGGCTACTATTGCACCAATGACAGCCCCAGGTACACTGGATCTGCTCTCCCCACTCTGCTCTTGATGAGCCTGCTCACAGGTGTAGGAGGTGGGGTTGCTGACGCATGTTCCGTTTGAGTGACACACGGCACCTATGCAGTAGTCTGTGTGCATGATAAAAAGCATTAGTCCAAAACCATCGCTGTCCGCTTGTGGTAGACTAGTGTATAGTTGCTTTTGATACTCATGATTACCCCCTACATGCTGAGCTAGAGTATACTGTGCCATAGCACAGTGATTTGAGGTTTGCCTTTGTCTTGTATTGTGTTGGTAGCTCAGTTGGTAGAGCGCTTGCCTAGACTACGGAGTGTCGTGGGTTAGAATCCCACCCAGGGCAGCTCTTCTTTTTTCCTTGGGAAAAATTTGTCCTGGGTGTAGTTGATTTGTTTGCCTTTGCATTGCTACCGCACGTTTGTTGACATCACTCTGTTTTGTCATCTTGTGTACAAAACACACATCAGTAATATGGCTATAAGCCTGTAGAGCCCAGGGGAATTCCTGTATTATGCGTTTGAGTGCCTTCCATATTTCTCTGACCATGAATCTGCAACAAGTCTGCAGAGGTAGGAGGTCACAGTAGTCTGTGCATGACAAAAGGTTTCAGTGAAACGGACTGTTTAGGCAGCATCTCAGTCACATCACAATAATTTAAGCAAACAGGACTCCAGTTTCCTGTGTACCAATACTGTTGGGATAACTTCAATTTGTGAGGTCAGGTACAACAACATGCACTGTGCTTATCTTTCAGCATGAACTGATAGCCGGGGAAAAACAGGTCACATTTTTCACACTTGCCTTGTTGTCTGCAGAGGTTGGAGGTGTTGGTGTATCCAGGGAGACAGGAGATCCCTCTGTCTTCCCGACAGCTGTAGTGACCACTGACGTCATCGTTCTGAGGGAGACAGTCACAGTGGGGACCCTCGTACCCTCCACTGCACCGGACTCTGAACCTCATGCTCAGAGTGATCCTCCCATCAGGAGTGTTTCTGTAGTCCATCTCTTCACTGAACTCTGAACTGGTGTTGAGGGACTCCAGAACCACCACGTCCTCAATGTGGTCATCAAGGGTGGTTAAATCAAAGTCCATGACTACAATACGTAGGCGAAAGTGCACCTGTAAAAATGAGGCAGTGAATTATTTTCCGGTGCTAAAGAGGTCTACTCACAGGCCATGGTTGAGATGAAGCAGAGAGGTTTCCTGTCATGGGCAGCCCTTTGTACAGATCTAAATCATCAGTAGATGCTGCCAGAGAGCACTCTTGTCCTGTCTCCCCAGACTGTGGGTCCAGACACATCCCGTCGATGTAGACGTCACACTCGTCCACAGGCCCACAGTCACTGTCAGAGTTGCTGAAGTGCAAAACCTGCACCTCCAGCAAAAAGTTGCCGTAGACAGCCACCTGGGAAAAACAACAGGCCACTGGAACGTAACAAAGACAACACACACTATCATGGACTTAGCTAGCGACATACTACGTACTTGTACTTACACTCTGTAGCAGAACAGCTAACAAAACTGTAGGCCTTCGAGCAGCTCTCATGTTTCTGTAAAGAGATAGTAAGTATCTATCAATCACCAAGGGAAAGAGTAAAGATTACAGCAAAGTAAAGGTGCAGTGCTATAGAGGCTCTATCTATCTAGTTATACTCGTTCATCTGGTTAGTTATGTCACGTGTTGTTTTGACATAATATTATGACACTTGAGACAATCCAACAAAGGCCAACAAACTCTACCTGTTGGGAGTACTACACAATACTGCAATAACTAAACTTCTGTTTCACAAACTAACACAGCAGTATTATGGGACTGCTTTGCCGTCATTTTATAGTGAAAGTTAGCTATGTCTAGTGATGTCACAACTGAGTTATGAATTAGTTTTATTTCTCACAAAGGAACCTCGTTGTTCCCATGATGTGGCATCTCTATGTATGATCCCTCTGATTTCACAGAGAAATGATTTTTCATGACAACTGCAGTATGGTGACTAGTAATAGGTAATGGGCATAGAGAATTGCAAAGGGGTGAAGACTGTGTTTATTGAATTGTGGTATAATAAGCGTAGGAATAGACCCCAGTCTCTTCTTCTTCTCTTGCTTTATGACCAGGAGGAGAGAGGGTGCCGCTCATTGCCTCCTGTGGCAGGTGCCTCGAGCCAGTGCTGTGGATGGAGTAGACTGGATTAGGCAGTAGCTGGATCGGATCATCACTGTGGGGTGTAGTGCTGGTGTTTCCTTGGCTGGTCAAGACACTGCTCAGTGGTCCATCCTGCAGAGCACTGGAGTCCTTGCTGTGAATGGCACAAAGGGGGTTTGGTAGCATCTGGATAGCAGCACTGCTGTGCGAGGCAGTTTGGTTTCCCTGACCAGAGGAGTTACTACTCTCTTGTGATGGTGAATGCTGCAGAGAACACTCGGCTCCTGAGGCAGTGCTGTGAATAGCATACACTGGGTTTGGTGATAGCTGGATGGCATCTTCACTGTGTAATGCAGTGTTTCTCAGGCCTGAAGTTGGGGGTCGATCCTCTCTATGTAGAAGATTCGTACTGTGAATGGAGTAGACAGGATTTGGTGATAGGTGAATATCATCTTCTCTGTGTGGCCCAGTGGTTGCTGGTGCTCTACTGCTGGTAGACATAAGACGTCTTATGGAGGTTCCTCCTCTTTTGGGGGCCTTGTTGCTGTCTGTGGAGTCAAGAATCATGAGAAAGAGAGTTACTGCTGATTGTTACACTGCCTTTACTAAAGTTGTACTTCTAGCATGACACTTACATTGAGTCAACCTCTTTTCCTCAGTATGATACACACAATGGCGACTATTACCACCACTGCACAGAGCAGTAGTGCCACCAGGAGACTGGCTACTATTGCACCAATGACAGCAGGAGGCATGCTGGACGAAGTCTCTCCACTCTGTTGATGAGGAGCAGCTGTAGAGGGTCCCAGGGTTGAGCAGTTCTCTCCTTCCGGACACACACACCTGTAGCCACCATCTTCCTCCTGTGGTAACAATTTCCCCCTGTGACTTTCATTTTACACTCTTGAAACACCTATTACACATTTCCTCCCCACTTCCCTTTCCTTTCAAAGGGCTTATATATTCCACAAACAAATATTCTCAGTGAGTAGAGTGTTTAATGTGAACTTACAATGCATTTCATGCCAGTTGCACAGTTGCAGTTACCTCTGGAGACCATGATGGTGGGGGAAGTGGTAGGGGAGAAAATGGTGCGAGTAGCAGGGGAAGTTGGTGGTGGCTCACAGGTGTAAGAGGTGGGGTTGCTGACACATGTTTCATTGGAGGAACACACCTCACCTACGCAGTAGTCTGTGCATGACAAAAGGTTTCAGTGAAAAGGACGTTTTAGGCAGCATCTCAGTCACATCACAATATTTGAAGCAAACAGGACACAGTTTTCCTGTGTACCACTACCTTTGGGATAACTTCAAGTTGTGGGGTCAGGTACAACATGCACCATGCTCTCTTTCAGCATGAACTGATAGCCGGGAAAAAAACAGGCCACATTTTTTCACACTTGCCTTGTTGTCTGCAGAGGTTGGAGGTGTTGGTGTATCCAGGGAGACAGGAGATCCCTCCGTCTTCCCAACAGCTGTAGTGACCACTGACATCATCGTTGTGAGGGAGACAGTCACAGTGGGGACCCTCGTACCCTCCACTACACCGGACTCTGAACCTCATGCTCAGAGTGATCCTCCCGTCAGGAGTGTTTCTGTAGTTCATCTCTTCACTGAACTCTGAACTGGTGTTGAGGGACTCCAGAACCACCACATTTTCAATGTGGTCGTCATCATTGAATCTATCAAAGTCTACGACTTCTAAACGCAGGCGAAAGTCAACCTGGAATTAAAAGCTTAGTATTATGCAGTTAAGCAGCTGCTGACAGCTTACAGGCCATGGCTGGTTTGTCACAGATAGAGTTTTAGTCTTAGGAAGCCCAAATTCTAGATTCAGATCATCTTCATCTTTTATCAAAGAGCAATCTTGATCCTCCTCCTCGGAGCCTGGCTCCTCAAACTTGGGGTCCAGACACATCTCATCGGTGTACAGGTCACACATATCAAACAGCGTTCCACAGTAATCAACAGGGTCACGGACACGTACAACCTGCACCTCCAGTTGAAAGTTTCCAGACGCAGGTACCTGGAAAAAACAAGGATGTTTCCCACTCAAAACTGATCATCGCTACAGCTAGCTATTGTATTCATGCACACTTACAGATTGAAGCATTGCAGTGACAAGAACGGCAGCTATAGAAGCTCTCATGTTCGCTGATCGTCGTCTAGTCTCGTCTCGGCGCGACCATTGCGCATGCGCACTGCAGACTTCCGCATCTAGAGCTCTAGAGCGCGCGCGCGAGAGCTCTGCACACACGTACACTTGCAGATACCCCATTACATCATCGAGCCACTAAAGTAGGGTTTGGGGTGAATTAGGATTATCATTGTGTGTTGGCTGGTCGGAACTGCTTCTGGTCACAGTGGACTCTAGCTACATAGACTGAAGTTGTCTCTGAATATAATATACATGCAGTATATAAGAATTTGGGTTGGTCATACAGGCTACCATCTGATGCAGACTTGTTCAGATTCAGGCGATTTTTTGGTGAGGAAGAATGGCCTGGTACAATCTGTAGCTAAGTGCCTATCAGAAAAGACAGTCGGGGTTTATCTGTAGTTTGTAATAGACTTGTTCCCAGGTTTCGCCACGATATATATATAACAGGCTGGAATGACAATGAACCCCCGTGGATGAAGTAGACAAGGTTCAGCATGATTTCAATGAGTGTTAAAAATTTATGCACATAAGAATTGAGTTCACAAACATAGCTAGAGGGGGTGAAGGATGGAGAGTGTTCCCTGGTATGTGTGCACATATGAGACTGAAGTTATTATGGTGGAAATGGTCCTGAAGTTCTAGTGTCGGTCGTGTTGAGAGTGTCGTAGGCCTCAGAGAGCTCGGCTGGTCTGGTTGTCTCTGTTCTGGAGTCCGTGGTCCAGAGTGTGTACGGAGCCTCCACATTCTGTGATGGAGCTGCACAGAAACATAGACAGGGTCACATGCAGTGGTGGTTCTTTGCTGGCAACCTACAATAATTCTACGGTGAGAAACTAAGTCAGTGCACATTTTGATCTGATACTAACAGAATGGTGTGTGTAACTACTGGTATTTGACCATATTTTGGGCGGGCTTCGAACTATGCAACCACGTGGCTCCCAAGGTAGCTATATTGTACTATATTAAGCATGCAGCACATGAACTAATGAGTGTGCAGGCAAGTTGTGTGAAATCATAGTGAAGCCTTTGTCAGACTGTTCCCACTGTCGGTGTCTCATATCTGTTTCCATCAATGGACACGGCATCAGTACGAGTGTCACTACCACCACCTTCACCAGCAGCACCCACTGTGGCATACGAGTACACGCCTCCACAGCAGCGACCTAGGGACCTGTACCCCCCTCCACCATCTCCTTCTCCTCCCTCCTGGCTGGAAGTAGAGGTACTAGTTGCGGAGTCACGGGAACACTGTAGATATGTCTCCCTGTTGAGGTTGGTTCGCGTGATCTCTATACAGAGGGTTTTCAATGTTTGAGTTATTAATGCGGCCGTAGTCGTAGAAGGGATTCGCAGTCCCGGGAGTGTCTTCATCGTGTGATCCTTCTCCTCCACTTCCGCTCTCCGCTCTCACCACGGATCTTCGTACGTGGGTTGCTCACCACACACGTTGGCTGCCAGCCAGCGTGGGATGGATTTTATGTGGGACCACGTCTTCCTCTGCCATTGGTCTTGGGGGCCACTAGTAGTGTCAAGAGAAATTAGGAAAGTCACTGGCTTGCTTACTCCAGTAAAATTGAGGGTATATTGCTAGGCTTAAACTAATTGCTGCAGTCATAAATTTCCTAGGGTTCAGTTGGAAAGTAATACATATGTATAACATTGGTATATACCTGCACTTACATTTCGACCACCTTCTCTTTCTCATTAGTATACAGACAACGACAGCTATCACCACCACTGCACAGAGCAGTAGTGCCACCAGGAGACCAGCTACTATTGCACCAATGACAGCAGGAGGCATGCTGGACGAAGTCTCTCCACTCTGTTGACGAGGAGCAGCTGTAGAGGGTCCCGGGGTTGAGCAGTTCTCTCCTTCCGGACACACACACCTGTAGCCACCATCTTCCTCCTGTTGTAACAATTTACCCCTGTGACTTTTAAAAACCCAAACCCAAAATGTCCATGCACTGCTACATTACACGAATGGATAAGCACTCCCACTACACATTTCCTCCCCACTTCCCTTTCCTTAGATTCCGAAAACATTCCCCAGAGATTGTGTCAGTGAGTCTCAAGAGGAAAGTGTCAATGTAAACTTACAATGCATTTCATGCCAGTTGCACAGTTGCAGTTATCTCTGGAGACAGTGATGGTGGGGGAAGTGGTAGGGGAGACAGTGGCAGGGGAAGTAGGTGGTGGCTCACAGGTGTAAGAGGTGGGGTTGCTGACACATGTTTCTTCGGAGGGACACACCTCACCTACGCAGTAGTCTGTGCATGACAAAAGGTTTCAGTGAAACGGACTGTTTAGGCAGCATCTCAGTCACATTACAATAATTTAAGCAAACAGGACTCAGTTTCCTGTGTACCAATACTGTTGGGATAACCTCAAGTTGTGAGGTCAGGTACAACAACATGCACTGTGCTTATCTTTCAGCATGAACTGATAGCCGGGAAAAAACAACCCACATTTTTTCACACTTGCCTTGTTGTCTGCAGAGGTTGGAGGTGTTGGTGTATCCAGGGAGACAGGAGATCCCTCCGTCTTCCCGACAGCTGTAGTGACCATCGTTGTGAGGGAGACAGTCACAGTGGGGACCCTCATACTCGCCACTACACCGGACTCTGAACCTCATGCTCAGAGTAATCCTCCCATTAGGAGTGTTTCTGTAGTCCATCTCTTCACTGAACTCTGAACTGGTGTTGAGGGACTCCGAAACCACCACGTCCTCAATGTGGTCATCATTGTTGAAAGTATCAATGTCCATGACTTCAATACGCAGGTGAAAGTCGACCTGGAATTAAAAGCTTAGTGTTATGCAGTTAAGCAGCTGACAACTTACAGGCCAAGGCTGGTTTGTCACAGATAGTGTTCTAGTCTTAGGAAGCCCACTTTCTAGATCCAGATTATTTTCATACTCTATCAAAGAGCAATCTTGATCCTCCTCCTCGGAGCCTGGCTCCTCAAACTGGGGGTCCAGACACATCTCATCGATGTACAGGTCGCACACCTCAGGCCACCATCCACAGTCATCAACAGAGTCACGGACACGTACAACCTGCACCTCCAGTTGAAAGTTTCCAGTGACGGCCACCTGAGAGCAACAACACTTACAATGAAACCCTTACTGGATTGTCAGTGGACACAAACTCAAAACTGTTTACTTATAATTATGCATGGTGCAGTGATGGCTTAGTGAATCTGGCACTCAGAGTAGTGTATCTTTAGCAAATAGAAAAATTCACATACAAGTACTTACACACAATATTATCCTAGTAGCTATTGGCTTACACTCTGAAGCAGTGCAGCTACCAGAACTGCAACCACATTATGCCAGAGAGTTCCCATGTTTTCTGTGGAGGTGAGGGTATAGGCACAAACATCCATATAAAGTGCTGTGAACGCCAATTATGACTGGTACTACACAGGTATAATAGCTACTACTGACTGAGTAAGTACGAGGCAGTGGTTGAGTGAAGAATGTCACGAGGCAATCACTGGATTTTTGAGGAATGACAGTGTTACACTTCGCGCTGGCTTCTGTGTGCACGTTTTAGTCCAGCATTTGCTGGAGCGTTGCAGACACCCCAACGTTACTGCTCGTAAATTCATGGACAATAGAGCTTACGGTGCTCTACCCATAGCTAGTAGAGTAGACTACTATCTATGGTAAATTCATCACAAACTGTGGCCTCGCTATGATGAGCCAGGGCTTATAGCTAAGGCTTTTTACCAGGCGCGAGACGCGAGACCTTAGGTTGGTATATAGAATGCTTGGCGGATATATGGAACACTCAATAATACACTCAACTCACAGCCAAGGCAGTAGCAGTAAGAAATTGTCACTGTGTCACATAAGCAGCACTGAACTGGAACGCTGGAACTGCTCTGCAGCGATTTTGCTGGCGACTTTTTATGCGTGCGCATGCCCCACGGAGGAGGCGTGGCTTCGGAAAGATCGAAGCGATCGATCCACGTGGTATTTTTGCCTCGATTTTTGCTTGGGCGAGCGAGATGCTGTCTGTGCGCTGTGCAGTCAGAAGAGGTCCCTGGCGTATGCTTGGGACTGGGAGAAGGGCCCTATCCACCAACCTATCCAAGGTCTGTGTTCGCCTAGCTAGCTGAAAGAAGGCATAGCCAATACCCATGGTTAAGGGAAACCAAGGTAACCACGTGCTCTCGAAGGCCACCCACAGGCCGCGCGTTTGTTGATTGTGGGATGCATGCGCCGTTTCCGTATGGTCACCTGTTAAAACTCCACGAGCAATTTGGTCTCTCGCTGTCTCTAACGTCCCCTTCTCTACAGCTATGGGAACCGTTGGCAGTGGATGGTGCTCCAAGATGGAGGAGTCGGTGCTACAGGTAAGACTGTAACCGGATTCTCTGAGCTATTCATTTATTACCGCATTTTTTGAATGAAACCCATTGGCTTTCAAAGAGTGAAGTTGCATCATCCAGATATCTGGTATAGATAATAGTTGGAGTGGGTGGTGAAGGCCTTTCAATGTCATTCAGTCGCTCTATACCATACACACCTATGGAACCCAATGCACCATTAGTTAGAGACTGGGTCAGACTCACATTCAACAGTGCAAATTCCCAGAAAATACTGAGTATTTTTGGTCACCGCGACTCGTGTTATTATGGAATACCTACCCATCGCATCATCACCACTGACACACATTCTAGCAGAAATGAACTCCTGCATACCACAAAGCTCAAAGCCGTTTGGCTTTGCTTTGTGAAAATATTGAATAGATCCAAGGAAAATATTTTCCATCCATATTTTTGTGTTCTATAAATTTTGGATGCTATATGCCCACCATACTTTCCATACCTCAATGTAATGGAAACAGTTCAGACGTGAAGGGGGCGGTGGTGGGGATTGACCTCGGCACCACCAACTCCTGTGTGGCGGTCATGGACGGGAAGAACCCGAGGGTCATCGAGAACTCAGAGGGATCCCGAACCACTCCGTCGGTTGTGGCCTTCACGAAGGACGGCGAGCGGCTCTGTGGCATTCTCGCCAAGAGACAAGTTAGACTAAGTCACAGTTTTTACTCCAGGCTCGAGCGATTCTTTGTCCTTTCAACATCACATGTCTCCCCCCTCCCCTCCCCCTCTCCTTCCCTTTCTCTCTGTTTGCCCCTCGTGGGGATAGTAAAATGATATGTTTGAGAAGAATACTGTAAACTGAAAACAACCAGTAATAGTAGCAACCCTACAATACACTCTACAATACAGTCTGTCTCTCTCTCACTCCCTTCTCATCTTCTCTCTGTGCCTTTTGACCTCGCTACTCCCATAGACTGTAACTAATCCAAAGAACACAGTGTATGCTACCAAGAGGCTCATAGGGCGACGGTTTGACGACGAGGAAGTCAAGAAAGAAGCGTGAGTTTCCAAAAACCCACCAGCAGTAGCACCCACCTCCCTCCCCCCTCTCTCTCCCTACCTCCCTCTGAAATCTTCAGGAAAACGGTGCCGTATGAGATAGTCCGAGCCTCCAACGGCGATGCGTGGGTCAAGACAGCCCACGACGGAAAGATGTACTCACCCAGTCAGATTGGAGCGTTTGTCCTCATGAAGATGAAAGAGACGGCAGGTAAGACCACCCTCTCCTCATACACCTCAGCGGTAACTGCTGGTGTGTGCTACCTGCAGAGGCCTACCTGGGCCAGCCGGTAAAAAATGCCGTCATCACAGTACCCGCATACTTCAACGACTCTCAGAGACAGGTGTGGTTTTAGCAATGAGGACTCTATCTAGAAATGTATCCAAGAGGACGAGTGCCCCCCTTCCTTAATCCCTGGCATTTGAACATATTCACTCCTCAAAACACTGTAGCATGCGTGATGTGCATGACACACTTATTCAGTAAAGAGTAGGAAGGAAGGTTGGATGATGGAAAAGTTTCTAACCTACCCTATACCGATCTTACCGCTGCAGGCCACAAAGGATGCAGGGCAGATTGCTGGACTGAACGTGCTCCGGGTTGTCAACGAACCGACAGCTGCAGCTCTCGCCTACGGACTGGATAAAGCCGACGACAAAATGTTGGTCGAATTTCCTTCCTTCTCCTCCCTCCCTTTCTGGCAGCTGCTTTGATCTTTGGTGAAAATTTCCCCACGCTGATCAGTGTACTATAGTGGTACAGCGAAAACCGGTTTCCCAAAAGTTGGGATACTACAAACAAACCCTTAGATCTGAGCGCAGCGTCTCTTTGTAGTGTGCATCTGAGGTTAAGGATGTACACCTTCACAGTAAGGGACACTTGACATGAAGCCTGTTGCAGAAGTAGCTGCTAGATTGTTTCCACAGTGTGTGTATAGTAGCACCTTTAACCCCTTTCAACCTCCCTATCGGTGTAGCAGCTCCTTTAACCCCTTTCCACCTCCTCTGTCCAGCATAGCGGTGTATGACCTGGGTGGAGGGACGTTTGATATCTCGGTGCTGGAGATACAGAAGGGAGTGTTTGAAGTAAAGTCAACCAACGGCGACACCTTCCTCGTGAGAGGACTTCGACAAATGCCCCGTACAGACACCTCGTCGCCGAGTTCAAGAGAGACGTGAGCCCTTCACTTCTGCTGCCCTTTCTTACTTCGTTCACTGCTGGGGCTTGTGTTTATATACTCCCTTCCTTGCTCTCCTATCTTTTCTCTTGTTCCTTCTTTCACTCTCGCCTCCTCTCTCTCTTTCTTCATCCATTCCTCCTTCTCTTTCCTACTGTTCCATTTACCCCTCTTCTCTCTCTTGCTCACATTCTCACTTTCTCTACATTGTCTCCCCCCTCCTTCTCCCATTTTTCCCATCGTGCTCCACATTTGACTTTCTCCTTATCTCGCTTCTACACCGTTGCCCTTATCCAAATTTTCATCGTTCTACTCCCAACTCTTGTTTTTCCCCTTCTCTCTGTGAACCACCCACACCACAGCAAGGACTGGATATCTCCACTGACAACATGGCCTGGCGAGAGAGTCATGAGAAGGCGGCAGAGAAGGCCACAGTCGCAGGCTCCTCTCATGAGGTGATCCAGTACACTCTGTAGCCTATTGAGACTTGGTCCCTTACATTCAGCCAACACACATGCACACATGTATACGTACAACACATGTGTGGCACAACAATCAAGAGCATGTTTTCTCTATACCAAATAAGAGGCTTGCACAAGCAGGTTCGTGACGTGCCAGTAAGAAACAGTTACCGTGTGGAAAGTCCTTAAGGAACTGCAGTACACATCCTTCAAGTAAATGCAGTACCCATGACAGCACTACAAGAAACAACACACCTCAAACTTCACACTACATGGCCTCTCTGTTGTCTCCCTCCTCTCCACTCGCAGACGACATTACCTCCTCCTCACCATGGGACGCCCAGTGACGACAGCACATGACCTCCGCTGACGAGCGGGGCAATGTTCGAGCACGAACGGCGCACTCATAGAGCGAACGGAGGGCCGTGTCAGAAGGCCTTAAAGACGCGACACATCAGCACAGGGAGAAATCAGCGACGGCAGACTCGTTGGAGGAATGACCGAATGCCAAGGGTGAACAGCCCAGTGTATAGACATCGCAGTCTAGGAAATGATTCGTTTGGGTTGTTGCGTGCCTTAGTTTTATTGCTATTCTCTTAAGGTCTAAACAAAGTTAGGGGTACATGAGATCAGAAGCCCAAAAAGTTATAAGCTAAGAAATCATAATACTTTTACACCTCTCCATTGAAAATTTGGCCTGTCGTGAATTTTTATCGTGTTGGTTGACAGGTTTAAGATACGGTGAGAGAATCTTCGGCGGGCGCCGAGTCGGTCCGTCAATCACGAGAGGGACGTGGAGGTGGTGGGCGGCGGTCCGGGGGGAGTTGTTGGAGGGGACGTGAGGGGGTGTGTTGCTGGACGTGGACTCCACTGTCGTGGGGTGAGACTCTGGGGGGAGTGTTACGAGACTCATCTCCGGGTATCACCATTCCCAACAAAAGGGCCAGGTAAGAAGATGTGTGAGGGAAAGTTACTCTCTGTTGGTATGCCTAGGTTACATGAGTTTCATAAAATTGTAAGAAAGGCTTTTTTTTGTGAGAAAAACTATAAGGTAAGACAGTTGCCATTTAATGCACGCGAAACGTTTGCAACATTAGGTTCAACAATTTCCTTTTACTTGTGTAATGGCGGCCCCAGTATGGAATGTGTGGTGGCTTTTGTTGTTGAACTCACCTTTTCCCCTCTGTTCCTATCACTTCTTACTACTCTCTTGTGGTAGTGGAATGCTGCAAGAAAAACTCGGCCCTGAGGCCAGGGCTGTGAAAGCATAACACTGGGTTTGGTGATAGCTGGATGGCATCTTACTTGTAAATGCAGTGTTTTCTCCAGGCAGGCCTGAAGTTGGGGGTCGATCCTCTATGAAGATTCGTACTGTGAATGAATAGACAGGATTTTGTGATAGGTGAATATCACTTCTCTGTGTGGGCCAGTGCTGCGGCTTGTGCCCATACTGCGGGTAAGACATAAGATGTCTTATGAAGTTCCTCCTCTTTGGGGGCCGCTTGTTGCTGACTGTGGAAGTCAAAATCATGAAGAAAAGATTACTGTGATGTTTTACCCTGCCTTTACTAAAGTTGTACTTCTAGGTGACACCTTACATTGGAGTCAACCTCTTTTTTTCTCAAGTAATGATAACACAACAATGCGACTATTATCCCACTGCACAGAGCAAGTATGGATGCACCATATAGCTGGCTACTATTCACCAATTACAGCATGAGCATGCTGGAGCGAAGTCTCTGCCACTTGTTTGAATGATGAGCAGCTGTTAGAGGATCCCAGGTTTGAGCATTTCTCCTCCTTCCTGACACACACACCTGTAGTGGCCACCATCTTCCTTCCTCCTGTGGTAACAAATTTTTCCTTCCCCCTTACTTACATTTACACCATGCACCTGCCACGCATGGATTTCTTGGATTCTTTGAATGGCGTATTAAAACACCTATTTTTACACATTTTCCTCCCACTAACTGCCCTTTCCTTTCAAAGGGCTTATATATTCCACAACAAATTCTCAGTGATACGTGTTTATGTGAACTTACAATCGTATTCATGCCAGTTTCACAGTTGCAGTTTCTCTGGAGATGGTGGGGGAAGTGGTAGGGAGAAAATGGTGCGAGTAGCTGGGAAGTTGTGGCTGGCATCCACATGTGTAAAAGAGGTGTGGTTGCTGACACATTTCATCGGAGGGACACACCTCACCTACGCAGTAGTCGGGTGCCAGTGTAAAACAAAAGGGTTTCAGTGAACGGACTGTATCATAGGCATCACTCAGTCCACATCACAATAATTTAAGCAAACAGGTCTACAGTTTCCTGTGTCCAATCTGTTAGGATGAACTTCAAGTTGTGAGGTCAGTATCAACAACATGCACGGTGCTTATTTCAGGCATGAACGGATAGCAGGGAAAACAACCCACAGTTTTTCCCACTTGCTTGTTTGTCTGCAAGTTGGAGGTGTTGGTTTTATCCAGGGGAGACCAGAGATTCCCTCCGTCTCCACAGCTGTAGTGACCACTGACGTCATCATTGTGGGGAGGCATCACAGTGGGGACCCTCGTACCCTCCACTACAACAACCGGACTCTGAACCTCATCTCAGGAGTGATCCTCCCATCAGGAGTGATTTTCTGTAGTCCATTTCTTCAC